AGGTCATGAAGAGTCGGAGACGACTGAACGAATGAACAACAACAACAAAAAATAAATACACAAAATTAATTAATTCCACAGTGTAGATCAGGCATGGGCAAACTTGGGCCCTCCAGGTGTTTTGGACTTCCATAATTCCTAACAGCCGATAGGGCCCATGTTTGCCCATGCCTGATCTACACTGTAGAGTTAACGCAGTTTGACGTCACCATGTCTCAACGTCACAGAATCCTGGGAATTGTCATTTGATGAGACCCAGGACTATTTGGCAAAAAGGTAATGTGAAATTTCAATTCTATTACGATTGAGTTATGGCAGTTCAAGTGGTGCCAAGCTGCATTCATTCTATAGTGTAGAGATCATGCAGAACTTAACTGCTTGCCCATTTTGGTCCAAAGAGAGTCACTTTTGCTCCTGGGCGGATCTTTGCATTTTCTGCTCTGTTTCATGCAAATATATAAACCCAGCTTCCTTTTGTCCCAAGGGCAAAGCTCCTATTTTGTATCTTCCTGTAGATTTTCTGTTGTATTTCCTCTGGCTTGCCTGTTTTCTCATCTTCCTTTCCTGATTCAAGGGGAAGGAGATGGAGGCAAGGAAACAAAGGGAACTCCAAAGTCTTGCTCCTCCTTCCCTCCTTGCTTCCCTCCCCTTCAATACCAAGCAAACAAGGCAAGAGCTGGCACCCCAGGAGGAGGAGGGCAGGCAGACTCCTTTGTGCCCCATCCACCCATTTCCTCCTCCTGGCTCCATCCCTTACCTGCATTTGGCCAAAGGTGCAGAGCTTCCTTCCTTCCTTCCTCCTGGATGGATCCCTGCTGCTGCAATTCCTCAGCCTGGCCTCCTCTCCCTTCCTTCCTTTTCCTCCCTTCCCTCCCTTTCCATCCAACTCAGCCAGATGTCTTGCCAAGAAGGATTTGCAGAGCCATCTAGCTGCAGGGAGCTGAAGTCTCTTGCTAAGCCAAACACAAAGGATCCTGGGAGCTGTAGTCTCCCTCCCTCCCTCTCCAACTTCTTCTCTTGTGTCACCACCTGACTGCAAAGTCATAAGAAGAGGATGTTTTTTAAAAGCTTGCAATGTAAACAAAAGCCAAAGTGTGTTGGGATTTCAGTTGTCACATCATCTTCCTCCAAGGATACAATCTAGCACTAACCTAATGTTGCCCAGGCTCCTTCCATGCTGCCCCTACATCCCAGGATCTGATCCCAGATTATCCTCTTATCCCAGATTACTTGGAGGTGGGGACTCATATAATCCATAGAATCCTAGAGTTGGAAGAGACCTCATGGGCCATCCAGTCCAACCCCCTGCCAACAAGCAGGAACATTGCATTCAAAGCACCCCTGACAGATGGCCATCCAGCCTCTGTTTAAAAGCTTCCAAAGAAGGAGCTTCCACCACACTCCAGGACAGAGAGTTCCACTGCTGAACGGCTCTCACAGTCAGGAAATTCTTCCTAATGTTCAGGTGGAATCTCCTCTCTTGTAGTTTGAAGCCATTGTTCCGCATCCTAGTCTCCAGGGAAGCAAAAATAAGTAGTCTTTCCAAAAGTTAATATATTTGACTTACTCCCAAACATACAGGTATATTGCTTATTGGTTTCATGTTAACTGAATTATACTCTAAACTGTACTATACTGTACCATACTTCTGCTGCAAATAGGCTCATATATCAACTGAAGATCTCACTGCAGTATATTGATTATACTCCTGCTTTGACATCGACCCACTCAACCGACTTCTTACATCCAACTGACTCCAATTGACTTCTGATTCTGAAATGGCATCTCACTCTGAACATTCTAAGATCAAGGTCACATGGTCAGTAGTCCCTCTAACAACATAGTGTTAAGGGCTTCCACCTAACTCTGAGGTAGAGAGTTCCACTGCTGAACAGCTCTTTCAGTCAGGAAGTTCTTCCTAATGTCCAGGTGGAATCTCCTTCCTGTAATATGAACCATTGCTACGTGTCCTAGTCTCCAGGGCAGCAGAAAACAAGCTTACTCCCTCCTCCCTATGACTTCCCCTCACATATTTATACATGGCTATCATGTTTCCTCTTAGCCTCCTCTTCTTCAGGCTTGGGCAATAAGGAAATGGCCCTCTCTTCCTGGATTTCAGAGGGTCCTGTTGACCAGACCATCAAGGATAATGTGGCCCATGGACATAGTGAAGCATTCAACATAGAAGGCACTTATGTGTCACTGCCTCCCCCATTGTGCCATTTTCCAATCTCTGAAAAGGTGTTTCAACTCCCATCATCAAGTAAATATTACAGGACTATAAGACAATTGAACTGGCTCTTTGGGGCCAGACAGAAGACGTTATTTCAAAACTCAAGACAATAGCTTGGGCTGAAGCTTAAGGGCTTAAGCTATCGCTTTGGCCCCTTATCAATACAGATGCGGAAAGGGCCATTCATAACCAATCATCATGACATTTTTTCATTGTTTCCCTGTTGCCCACCTCCTTCTACCTCATTGGCTGAGCAGCCAAAGCAGGGCTAAGGCCCTCATTGGATCTCCTGCTGGCTTGCTGACATCACAGCCAAACACAACGAAGTCGGCTGAAGGGGGTGGGCAAGGGAACTTTTGAATCAGACAGCCCTATAAATTTCCTAGTTCCAACAGACCTCACTACCTCTGAGAATGCTTGCCATAGATGCAGGCAAAACATCAGGAGAGAATGCCTCTAGACCAGGGGTCCACAAACTTTTTACACAGCGGGCCAGGTCATAGTCCCTCAAACTGTTGGAGGGCCGGATTATAATTTTTTTAAAAAAATGAATGAATTCCTATGCACAGTGCATGTATCTTATTTGTAATGCAAAAACACTTTAGAACAATACAATAATTAAAATGAAAAACAATTTTAACAAATATAAACTTATTAGTATTTCATTGGGAAGTGTGGGCCTGCTTTTGACTGATGAGGTAGGATTGTTGTTGTTGTTGTTTTGTGCTTTCAAGTCATTTCAGACTTAGGTTAACCCTGAGCGAGGGCCGGGTAAATGACTTTGGAGGGCCACATTCGACCCCGGGCCGTAGTTTGAGGACCCCTGCTCTAGACCATGGCCATATAGCCCAAAAAAACCTACAACAACCCAGCCCTATAAATATTGTTTTTCTCTGTCCAGCCAGCATGTTGGCTCCTTGGGCTGATAACTGCAGTGGTCATCTGTTGCAGCTGGAATGAAATAAAACCTCGGTGGCTTTTGCTTCAACGTGGTGAGACTTTATTTGGGAAAATTAAGGGAAAATATTTCTTGGTGCTTGCTGTCTCGCCAGGTGTCCCGGATCCTCTTTTTGGGTCTGGCCGGTCTCTGCCTAGGCAGGGTCTCCCAAATTCGTGTTCAGCATCAACATGGTGTTGTGGTACTTAATTTGTAAAATCATAACATAATTTGATGTTTAATAGGCTTTACCTTAATCCCTCCTTACTATCCAACATTTTCGCTTATCCAACGTTCTGCTGGCCCGTTTATGTTAGATAAGTGAGACTCTATTGCATTATTATTAACAGCTGAAACTCACTGTGTGACATGCATAATATATTTTATCCTTTAGGATGGCGAAGGATTACAGAGTCCAGTCTTAAGGTGTGAAAGATTTATTTAAGTAAAAGGAAACACATTCTGGACAGAAAGGTTTGGAACTAACTAGCTTCATAAAGCTTCATCATCTAAGAGAGACAAAAAGTAAAAAAATCCAAGAAACTATCACACAGAGGCAAAAGCATACTCTGGGAGAGAGAGAGAGGAAGGAAGAAAAAAATGGCATCCAAGGACCTCTAGTGTGGATCTACTTTAAATCTAGTTTTTGCCTCCTGCAGAATTCTGGGGCTTGTAGTTTAGAGAGGGGCCTTTCAACTGCTCAGCCAGACAAATTCTGGGCATCACTTGTTATGGTACTTTCTCAATTCTGAGATGCATTTCCCCCCCTATATAAATATCTCTCAAATGGGTTCTGTACCTTATCACACTAGAGCAGTGATTCTCAACCTGTGGGTCCCCAGGTGTTTTGGCCTACAACTCCCAGAACTCCCAGTCAGTTTACTAGCTGTTAGGATTTCTGGGAGTTGAAGGCCAAAACATCTGGGGACCCACAGGTTGAGAACCACTGCACTAGAGAATGAATCCACTTTAAATCTGGTTTCTGCCTCCTGCAGAATTCTGGGGTTTGTAGTTTAGGGAGGAGCCTTTAACAGCCTCACTAAACTACAAGCCCCAGGATTCTGCAGAAGGCAGAAACAGGATTTAAAGTGAATTCATTTTCTAGTGTGATGAAGTAGTGAAGATGTATCTTGTGTATTTTAGCTGGTGGTGGTACTGAAATTAGGGTGCATCTTAAAATCGATGACATTTTACAATGGAAAAATTTCAAAATACAGTGAACTGCTCCAGTCCTAAGATGTTAAGAGTCTGCAGACCTCCAAATTTTACTGGAGTGCAATTCCCATCTTTCTTTGCCATTCTCCCTAAAGTCTTGGCCTGATACAGGGTCCAAAAAACATCTGGCAGCAGGAACATTTATGATGCCGGATACAATTAATTCCCTAATCCATGTTACATCAATATTAAGAAATATGAAAACATGTAGAGACCTGGAGCAAGTTTGGAAAACATATCCCTCTGTCCCACCTCTCAACACAAAGTTTAGAATTCTTTTATTGTCCCCCATCCAATAAAAACCAGCTTGGATGTGATGAATGAGCAAATAAATGTGTGTTTCTTTGAGAAAGGCAGAGAAGCTGTCCACAGCATGCTGGAGAAGCAGCAAGTACAGATGTACCAGGTCTACCTTGCTGATATGTATGGTTCTCAAACTGGGAGGCCAGACTCAAACTTCAGATAGAAAGACTGTCATTACTGAAATGCTTTGTCTTTTCCTTGTCGAAGACCTAAAGTGGGGAGAGGAGCTCAAGTCAAGAAAGCATTTGCTTCTCAGAAAATATATTAAATTATATTAGACATTCTTGAGGCGTTCACGGGATTTCGCTCTTAAGTGAACTCTGTGGTGAACTTGGAGGTGGGAGTGTCGAGCAAAATGCTTCCCGCACTCCAAGCATTCGTAGGGTTTCTCCCCTGTGTGGACTCTCTGGTGCTTCACCAGGTTGGAGAGCTGAGCAAAACATTTCTCACATTCCACACACTTGTAGGGTTTTTCTCCGGTGTGGATTCGCTGGTGGCTCACGAGGGCCGAACGTTGGGAAAAACACTTCCCGCACTCCTGGCATTTATGGGGTTTCTCTCCGGTGTGGACTCGCTGGTGATTTACCACATCTGAATGTATTGCAAAGCATTTCCCACACACCAGGCATTTGTAGGGTCTCTCTCCCGTGTGGATGCGCCGGTGTTTCACAAGATCTGACTGCTGCGCAAAACACTTCCCACACTTCAGACATTTGTAGGGTTTTTCCCCTGTGTGGACCCGTTGGTGATTCACAAGGTTGGATTGGTGAGCAAAACGTTTCCCACACTCTTGGCATTTATAGGGTTTCTCCCCAGTGTGGACTCTCTGATGGTTCACCAGAACAGACTGACGAGCAAAGCATTTGTCGCACTCCAGGCATTTATATGGTTTTTCTCCCGTGTGGACTCTTTGGTGATTTATCAGCACCGAGTGACGGGCAAAACATTTCCCACACTCCAAGCATTCGTAAGGTTTTTCCCCTGTGTGGACTCTTAGGTGTCGGACAAGCTGGGATCTCTGGGTGAAACATTTCACACATTCCAAGCATTTGTAAGGTTTCTCTCCTGTGTGGATTCGGTGGTGATTCACGAGGACGGACTGTCGGGAGAAACATTTCCCACACTCGAGGCACCAGAAAGGCCTCTCTCCCGTGTGGACTCGCTGGTGCTTCATGAGCTCAGAATGATGAACAAAATCCTTTGCACACTCCAAGCACTTGAAAGGTTTCTCACCGATGTGAATTATCCTATGTGTGACGAGGTCAGACTTCTGAGCAAAAGATTTCCCGCACTTACGACATGCATGTTTCTTCCTGAAACCACCTGCTAAAGATAAAATTAATAATAATCATCATCATCATCATTATCATCTCATCATTTTTTACTCGCCTCTCCTTGTCAACAAACCCTTGATCCTGGAACAGAAAGCATCACAGAATTTCCTTTCTTGTAGTTTGAAGCCATTGTTCCGCGTCCTAGTCTCCAGGGCAGCAGAAAACAAGATTTCTCCCTCCTCCCCGTGACTTCCTCTCACATCTTGATACATGGCCTTCATCATGTCTCCTCTTAGCTTTCTCTTCTGCAGGCAAAACATGCCCAGCTCCTTAAGCCGCTCCTCATAGGGCTTGTTCCCCAGACCCTTGATCATTTGAGTCGCCCTCCTCTGGACACATTCCAGCTTGTCAACACACATTTTTATGCCTCAAACATTAGCCCTGTTTTTGGGTATATTTGATCTGCTGATTCCAAAACATGGCACCAGGTTTCCATTATCAGCTCTAACATGCTAGATACAGAACTTGTGCCATTCACCAGTTGCCATCTGCCAACCCAAAGAAGACCATGATAACCATATATAAGAAACTAGAGTTGATGCAAACCATCCAGTGCAATTTGCTGAATTAGCACCCCACAAAACCCCATAAAAAAGCCAAAAAAAACAAGACTATAAGACTTATTTTTATTTATTGTATCAAAAGCATTGCATAGAATACTAGCCATCCCCTGCCACGCATTGCTGTGGCCCAGTCTGTGTATATGTGCTTTGTGTGTGTATATATTTGTGTATATGTGTATATATGTGTGTTTGAGTGTATATATATGTGTGTGTGGTTTTGTGCATGTGTAGTAATGCATTTTTTTATTTTTAAGTCTCTTCTGCTGTGTTTTCCAGTGTTTTTATAGTGATGGTCACTCATTGGTCCGTTAGGTGTCTTTTGGCCAAATTTCATGTCATTTTGTCCAGTGGTTTTTGAGTTATGTTAATACCATAAATGAATATTACATTTGTATTTATATAGATTGTAAAGCAATGTTTTGGGATTGGAAAGATTAGCCGTTTACATGAAATGTTGTTGGACTGTGTGATCAATTTCAAGTGGAAATGTTATACCTAAGCCAATGTGTACAGAAAATTGGCCTTTGAACAACAAATTGTGCTGGCGGAGAGCTCTTTTCAAATCCGGGAAGGGTTTTTTGGCAAGATGTCCATGGGTAATTGAGACCCATAGTTTCCCAAGTATCAGTCAATAAAGCAAATTAGAAAATCCCCAAAAGAATATTTTCCCAAGGCTGTGCTCCAACAATTACCTGAGCAACTGTTTCGGAAGGGTCGAACATCTGGCAACCACGGCTCTTCTCCTTGTTCCAGATGAAAGATGAGAGTAGGCTTGGAAACTAAAAGCCCTTGACAGAAAATAAAATAACAAAAACCTCATTATCCTGTAAAAATCATCTCAAAAGTTGTTATTTTGACAATCATATTGCAGAAATTACATTTTTAATCAAGACCAAATACAATACATTGATATGATGGCTCCCTCTCCTTTCCCCCTCTCCCAAAATCTACACATATATGTATACATAAATACATATAGTTCTAAACAGTGCCTACAACAATTGTCCCTGTTATACTATTCTTCCCTTCCAGAAACAACCCTCCTCGGTTGCAGCGACAAACTTGCCCTTCCTTCCCAGTAAAGCATTCACCCATTCTTTCTTCTATCACAGTGGTTCCCAACCTTTTTTTGACCAGGGACCACTTGACCAGGGACCACTTTCCAACATTAGTATCAAAAAGGTTACGAATCGGTTTTTGGTCAACTGAAAAAAATACAGAAAGCGGAGTGTGAGACCAAAAAAACTGTGGCACAAGCCAGTCAAGGTGGTCCCAGTTGTGATCGGCACACTGGGTGCAGTGCCTAAAGACCTTGGCCTGCACTTAAACACAATTGGCGCTGACAAAATTACCATCTGTCAGCTGGAAAACGCCAGCCTACTGGGATTTGCACACATTAATTGCCGATACATCACACACAGTCCTAGACACTTGGGAGGTGTCAGATGTGTGATCCTATACAACAGCCAGTAGAGTGCCCTTGTTTGTTGTGCACTAACCTTTTTGAGTTTCTAATAATAATAATAATAATAATAATAATAATTATTATTATTATTATTATTATTAGTGTTATTTATTGTATTGTTGAAGGCTTTCATGGCTGGAATCACTAGGTTCTTGTGGGTTTTTTCGGGCTATAGGGCCATGTTCTAGAGGCATTTCTCCTGACGTTTTGCCTGCATCTATGGCAAGCATCACTACCTCAGAGGATGCTTGCCATAGATGCAGGCGAAACGTCAGGAGAAATGCCTCTAGAACATGGCCCTATAGCCTGAAAAAACCCACAAGAACCTAGTGTTATTTATTGCTTGGATCTCTGCCACAATTTCCTGATTTAAACCTCCAATTTTAGCTAGTATTTCAGCTGACATTCCTCTTTTTAATTATGTGAGTATATAATGCCGATATCCACCAATGACTTCATCTTTCAAAATGGCACAGCTGTTTGGTTGTAATCCTTTTATTGTTGTTATCTTTACCTTCTTTCCTTATAGCTCTGTATTTCAGTCTCTAATAACTTCAGTTACATGTCTTCCATGTAGTTTGTTGTTGTTGTTCATTCATTCAGTCATTTCCGACTCTTCGTGACCTCCTGGACCAGCCCACGCCAGAGCTCCCTGTCGGCCGTCACCACCCCCAGCTCCTTCAAGGTCAAGCCAGCCATTTCAAGGATGCCATCTGTTCTGGTACGGCTGTACCAGGAGCTCCAATTTTATTTGCTTTGTATTAAATGTTTGCTTGCAGACCTAGGTTTCAGGGACTCTGCAGATAGGTGGCTTCCTTTGGTTGCAGTTGTAGGGAAAGTCACCAGTCCATCATCGTTAAGTTTTGGTCGCACCCCTTGCTCAGAGCAATTGGGAAGGGAGCCATATTTAGCTAGTCTCAGCAAGGAAAACTAATGTATAGGACGTGTGCAAGCTTCCCCTGAACAAAAGCTTCAACCCTTAAGACTTTCCGGGGGAAAACAGTCTTAAGAGTCTCCAAAGATTTCCAGGAAAACAGCCCTAAAGACCAAAGAACTCCAGCTGGAGAATATCTAAGCCTTTACCGGTAGGTCCACTCGGTGCTCGAGAAGCAGTTCGACCCGGTAGCGGATCCCACATCAATAAGGGTTAGATTACAGTCAGCCTGGGAGAAGTTAAAAAGGGGATTTTCCTTTAAAGTAAAGAAGAAGTTATTGAAGACAGTTGCCTGTCCTTCGTGGGCAAGTTTAGGAAGCCACCAGTTGCATAAAAGCCTGGAAGTATTTGTTTAGCTTTATTGAAGACAAGAGAAGTTTCTGTTTGATTGTTCATTAATAAAAGACTTTGTTATACTTCACAAGCCATCTAAGATTATTTGTGGTGGAAAGCCTCTGAGAACTTCTCCTTGGGCCCCCTGGCTTCCCGCTGGGCAAAGGTTGTACGTCCTGTTCTAAAGGAAATTCTTTACAGACCCAGCGCGTGACAGAACACCATCCATCCATCTTGCCCTTGGTCGGCCCCTCTTCCTTTTTTCCTTCCATTTTCCCCAGCATAATTGTCTTCTCTAAGCTTTCCTTTCTTCTCATGATGTGCTTCCATGTAGTATTTATTTAAATTTGTATAGACACAGCCTTGTTGCAGTTTAAACAGTGTGGGTTGATGGTATTCCTGAGTCCCCTTCCAACTGTATGCGTACCACACAAATTAGTATAATAAAGTCATTTCTGGGGGCTCAAGCTACCTACAACTCCCCTATAGCAAAGGAAGATTCCCACTATTTAGTCATTGTTGGTTTGCAGCAAACTGCTTCCTCTCCTTCGAGAGCCGTGAGGACAGAACCTCACTCCTCCACAGCAGAATTAGAAGTCTCATCATCCTGCAAATTCAAAGGACTGTTGCAAAGGACGTACCACTATCTAAGCCTTTTCAAATTTACTGGTTTTCTTACCCAACGAGGCCACATTTTCATAATTCTCCATCATGACTTCTTTATACAAGGCCTTTTGATCCGAGTCCAGGAGAGATCCCTGTCCTTCCGTGAAGTAGACAGCCACATCTTTGAAAGTCACCGTTTTCTGAATAATAATAACAACATGTTTATTTATTATTATTTCATATTATTTTCATTTTTATTTAGCTCAAGGTGGATCCTTAAATTAAATTTCTGGTTAAAAATGTTTTCTTACCCCTGTGGGAAATGTACAAGCTGGGTTTAGAAAAGGCAGAGGAACGAGAGACCAAATTGTCAATATCCGCTGGGTAATGGAGAAAGGCAGGGAGTTTCAGGGGGAAAAAAAACACCTATTCAGTTTTATTAACTACTAGCCATCCCCAGCCATGCGTTGCTGTGGCCCAGTCTCTGTATATGTGTTTTGTGTGTGCATATATGTGTACATATGTGGTTTTGTGCATGCATTGGCTTTTTAAGTCTCTTCTGCAGTGTTTTTCAGTGTTTTTATGAGTGATGGTCACTCGTTGGCCTGATAGGTGTATTGTATCCAAATTTGGTGTCAATTCGTCCAGTGGTTTTTGAGTTATGTTAATCCCACAGACAAACATATCTTATTTATATAGATTACTCGCTGTCCCCTGCCATGTGCTGCTGTGGCCCTGTCTGTGTATATGTGTTTTGTATGTGTATGTATGTGTATATATGTGGTTTTGTGCATGCTTTTTAAGTCTCTTTCGCTGTGTTTTTCCGTGTTTTTATGAGTGATTATCACTTGTTGGCCTGATAGGTGTATTGTGTCCAAATCTGGTGTCAATTCGTCCACAAACAAATATTACATTTTTATTTATATGGATTATTGATATAACTAAATTCATCTATAAAATCATATATTAAAATGCAGCCATAAAAGCATATATTACGAAAGTAACGTCTCCATCTTCGTAACTCCT